TTAGCCAAATACTTTTAACAGCCTCTTTTTCTTTGGGGTGAATTAGTAATATGTATAATATGACAAACCTGCTTGTTTTCTTTTTCCAGAGCTTCTACAAAGCATCGTGTGAACACCTGAACGGTGGCTAGCACTTCTGGGGCTCCATCGGTTTCCAGGAGCGCGTACCTGAACAGTTCAGACCACAGCACATGTAACGATTAATCTGGCAAACACATGAGCCTACGCTGTAAAAAGGAAGACTGGAAACACTTTCTTGTGCCATACGCTTCAGCAGTATCTCAACTCACCAGGTCTCAGTCCTCGTATGAAAGCAGGAGAAATCTGTCACTCCCTTTTCTAAACACCTTCTTTAAAGTACAACACACAGAGCTCTCTTTCTGGTTTTTAAATTACTAAGCACCGCATATCCCTTCCACGTAGACTTGCATGCTCATTACAAACATCTGAATATTACATGCCCAGAAATGTGACATCAACAGACATTTTGCTTTTGCAAGCAGAGATGAAGCTGCCCAAAGGGGGAGAATGGCTCAGTGAAGTCCACCCAGGAAAGTGGTGTAGGAACCCACGCGTACCTGGTTTGGTTTCCATGCATTGTCACACAATTGACTTTTCTTTTTAAGCAAAATAAATCCACTCAAACTTTGCTAGTTTTAAGATAAAAACAGTATTCTGACTTATTTCTATGATCATTTAGCTTAAAGCTGGTATGTTTCAAGACCAGCCCAAGTGGTGAGTTATGTGTTATTGTAAAATTCCTGTCCCCAAAGTCTGCCGTCTGCCCTGGGGTCTCTCCTGCTGTGTGTGAGGCAGGTGGGCTGCAGGGTGGACAGCCCGGCTGCCCCAGCGGGTCAGGCTTAGGACTCTACAATTCCGACCCCCACTTGCTGCCAGCCATAACCCAACCTCATGCCCAGAGAGTGTCTCAGCTCTCGTCATCCAGAAATCCAGTGAGCTCCCGAAAAGTACTTGCATTTTCAAAATGAAAATTAATGTCTTACAACATTCATGGCGTATTTTGCTTTCAGAAGAGCTCTGTTAAGAATGGCTTTATTTATTTATTTTTCTTGCTTTTCCTTAGCTTTAAAGTCCTTTAAAAAGACTGGTCAGCCCTCACGTGTTGACGGGGGTACACTGCTGCCCTTTGGACTGA